TGCCATGTTTGAGGCAGATGTTACATCACATCAGGGAAAGAACTAATAGTTTAGGAACAGCTTAGGGCCGTATCGTCAGTGGTTCCAACAATTGTAGGACGTCTTTATGGTCTCCTTGATTTTCATATTTTTCTACTGTTCCCTGTCAGCTCTCTATTTTCAGGTTATGTTACAAATATCAATTTTTTCAAATTGTTCATGTTTTTTTTTTATATCATCTGTTTTATCAGACTCAGCTTTCCCACAATTCAACCAGAAAACATATTTTTACTATAGGAGAGCGTTGACGCTGACACGGACGATACGGCCCTTAGATAACAATCAGTTATGAAACTCTCCTGTCATTGTCAAAAACGGCCGCTATTTCGGTTGAGAAAATCGAATGTAAATTCCTCAGGACAACGATGAAATATGTTTTAGTACTAAGCAGCAGCCGTTGTTGCCACGTTCTCTGCCAGTGGCAGCAGATATTCTTCAATAATAAAAAGAAGTATGTTTCTCCAAAGAGAAGCAACGGAGACTATTTATTTATGAAAAAGCAGTAAAATGAATTTGCAATGGTATTTACAAAAAAATGAAAAAACACTCTTCCCATGTATTCTACGCTGCTGCGATATAATCAATCCATTACACTTTCAATGTAAGCAGTGATAAAAGCACCAGACAAATACAACCTTCACTCAATTATAAGATTTCGGTGTATTTGTCGCGAAAAAATGAAAGCATAAACATTTAAATGAGAGGTTTAAGAAACATTGTTCATCAGTAAAGCTAATCAATTTTGCATGGACATTTTTTATTTTTCGCTCATTCTAAATAAATTCATTTAAAAAAACTATGTGTTGTCTTGTAATTATACTAAGTGACATATAAATCCGAACACCCAGTTTAAATGGTTTTATTTTAATAAAATTTTGAATAAGTACTTAATGAAGCATAATAAGTAAATGATAAAAATTTCAAAATGATTGCACTGCTTTAAAGCCCTTTGACCTTTAATAATGTGTGGATGCACCCTGAAGTGCTACGCATTCTCCAACGCGCCTAGGCATGCCTCTGATCAGGTGGTCAATGTCCTCCTGTGGTATCTCATTCCAGGCAACCACCAACTCCTCTCGAAGTGCTTCTAGAGTCTGAGGAGGACGTTGCAAATTGAGCAATCTCCTACCAATCATATCCCACACGTGCTCAATTGGGGATAAGTCGGGAGATCTTGGTAGCCATGGTAACAATGTGACATCATTATGTTGAAAGAAGTCTGTTGTGACTCTTGCAACATGTGGTCGGGCATTATCTTGTTGGAAAGTTGGATCTGCCAGGGTGTCAAGATAGGGTAAAAGATGGGGTTCTAGAACTTCGTGGATATAACGCTGCGCGTTCATGTTACTTCTGATGAAGATTAAAGGTGACCTGGAACCATAAGCTATAGCACCCCAAACCATAACTCCAACAGTGTGATGAACATGTCTTTCAACAAAAAACTGTGGATTCCTCCTTTCACCACGTCACCTTCTAACCCTGGCACGACCATCGTGCATGCCTAAACAAAATCGAGACTCATCACTAACAGTGTTTAGATTGAAAATGAAATAGATAGGCAGGGAACGTGGCAGCACTGGCTGCTGCTGAGCATTAAAAACTCTGTCATCGTTGTACTAAGGGAGTTTACATTGGACATTCTCCGCCGAAATGGCGGTTGTTTTTGACATTAACAGGAGAGTTTCATAGATGATTGTTATCTAAGCTGTGGTTTAGGTATCTTGATGTTCAGACAACACACACATACACCCACACAAACATCTAGAAAAGAAATCTATTTAGCCATAAAAAAGACAACTGAAACACACAAATACGTAGTCGTGCCATAAGTTCTGTCCCATGATAATCTCATGATAAAAATGAAACAAGATAAGATATATTTATTTGAAAGATATTATTTATTCGACAACATTTTTAGAATTCATAATCAAACAGTTTTATTCAAAATGTCCCCCCTTGGCCTTCACACACTGCTTCAATCTCGCGGGCCACTCATCTATCACTGCACGCACAGCTTCCAAAGGAATAGCTGCCGCTGATCGGATCAAATCCGCTTTCAGGGACTCGATATTACGGTGGGCTTTGGAGCAGGCCAACTGCTCTAGCAGGTCCCACAACTTGTAGTCTAAAGGATTGAGGTCCGGACTCCCTGAGGGCCAATCTTCCGCAGCAATGAACTCTGGCACATTGCTTTCCAGCCAGCGCTGCGTACTCTTAGCCTTGTGAGCGGGGGCGGAATCCTGCTGGTAGACCCAGTGTTGGTTGGCAAACAATGTACCACTTAAAGGCTTGACGATAGGATCCAGTATGTCGCTCTGATAGTTTGCCGCTTTTGTTTTCACGCCCTGTTTACAGAAATGGAGCTGAGTGACCCCTTCGTAGGACACCCCCCACCAAACCATGACTGACGCAGGGTGGTGGCCTCTCTCAACTCTCGGAATGATCTCCGAAGCTTCCTGTGAACTCCTTGCATACACTTTGTCATTTTGTCGGTTGAATTTTTCTTCTATGGTGAAGATTTTCTCATCCGTGAACAAAATCTTTCGGAATCCCCCAGCTGCGTACCTCTCCAAGAGCTTCTTGGATCTTGTCGCCCTGATGTGTCGCAAGGTGGCCGTAAGTCGCTGGCCCGTACGTCTCCGATAAGCCCCTAGCCCTAGGTCTTGTTTAATGATGCGCGACATCGTCCGGACAGGAATCTTCATTTCCCTGGATAGGATCTTCTGCTTCCGGAGTGGATTCCTTTGAATCCTGGCTTTTACGGCTTTGATGGCTGCTGGAGTCCTTACTTGACGAGGTCTTCCGCTTCTTGGCCTGTCATCAACAGAGGACGTCTCATTGTACCGCTGAATGGTCCTAGACACAAATTTACGCGATATTTGAAGGCCGCGTAAGAGTTCAAAAATCTGACTAGCACTGTGATTACACTTATGTAAAGCTATCACTGCAATACGGTTCTCTGCCTTGCCCCACTCCATCGTTATGCTTCGAGAGATCAATACAAACTGAGGTATATGTAATTACCCGAAAAGCGCTTAATCAACTGACACCACAATGTAAACAATCGGACAAGTATTAACAGGTCTACACTTGTTTGAAAACGAGGGACAGAACTTATGGCATGACTATGTATAATAATAATAACCGGGTTTATTAAAGAAATCAGAAAATGTTCTTCAGAAACAAAAAGTAAACTAGTGATGTATTAACCTTACTTGCAAATTTTGAGTTGATTAAATCAAATTAGTTTTCAATTTATGAAGTAAATTGTGAGGAAAAATGGGTAACTTGAAATTAGAGTAGGACCATGCCATATTTCTGACAAAGAGGGCTATCAGCCGAAAAAAATTCTAGAGAGAATCGATGCCATCTTTGGGGACGATGCATCATCATATTCCGCAATAAAGTTACGGTCGAAACATTTTTGATGGGGCGTGGTTCCATAAAAGACGATCCCAGAACAGCAACAAATTATGAAATGACGCAAAAAGTTGAAGGTATGGTTCTCGAAGATCGTCAGGTGAAGATCTCTATCTTCATCATTGGGATCCTGAGATAAAAACGAACGCAAGCAGTGGCTTCATAAAGCGTGTTCACCCCTCTGCTACAAGTTTTTTTTTTGATATCAGGGACAATTTGTCATTTGATATATGCCAAAGGAGACAACAATGAATGCGGACATTATGCGAACATGCTGAAAAGATTACTGAATCCAGTGAAATAGAAAAGACCCGATTTTTCAAATCGAGAGGTGTTTTTCTGCTACCTGACAATGCGAACATGCACAAGGCTGCAAAATTATGCCATTTAAGTAAGAATACAGCTTTGTTGAGATGTGCAAGTTTGCTGAATTTCAAAATTGAGAGAGATAAGAAAAGAAAATCCCTGGCTGGTGAATGAACAGGTTATGAAAAAAGCTACAGACAGGAATATTTATGAAAGTGGAAAGGTTATTAGATTTTTTTTATTTTAGTCGTTTAAATTTTATCGAAATTCATTTTGCGATGTCAACAGAAAATACAAATCAGCACCTAGATGTGAGTGATTGCGAAAATGTTTGATGTGTGATACGTCATTCCTAATTTTTCTGTATTGAGGGTTATTTGCATACAACGCGGGCGCAATGGAGACACAAGAAAACGGAAAAATCGTCATTTAAAACTTTGAACAACCTGTCTTCAGAAAGGACAACATATAAATAACCTGTCGGGCACAGCTAATAGATATACTTCATTGGCAGCATACTCAGTAATAATTTTCTCACCATAGCAAATTTCACTGATTGTGTACACATGCAGATCAATACACATAACCATCCAGATGCGATCTTGCTATTTAACCAAGTTTCTTTCTTTCACATCTTCTCAGAGATAAACTCTACAGACTACTCGGCTCCACAAAACGGATACTTGCTCTCTGCAACCAACAATGCGTGTAGTCGAGTCATTCCTCTATAGGCACGGAACTCAGGGATTGTTAGTGTTTTAGTCTATTGTATAATCTTTTTTAAACTTTCCAGAGATCAATTAGTACTAACGTCCGACCGGCATAGATGTTCATTTATAAAATACAAACGTGCCCTTTGACAATACTACGACAAAGGCCATGGCAGCAAAGCGACAAGACTTGCAAGTTGCGTTCCATTTAGTCCCGAAAGATAACAGTGAAACTGTTAATGAGTAAATCCGCGCACGACCAGCTGGCACCGGTACGCGTCAAAATGTACGTCAGTTGATGTTTTTCAATTACGTTAGTGTGCCGTGTGTTCCAATTACAGTGAAGTTCTGCATGTGTTCTATGTGAGGGCTACGTGCTACGTGTCGGTCCTATCTAACTTTGTTATGGAAATTGGTAGTGGAGCATGTACCGACGAGAACTGGCTTTTAGAAAACAATGGGAAGAATGGGGCATATCGCAGCATGGAAAATGTTGTAATCGTGCAAAGTTTCAAACTTTAGATAATGCGTTATGTGAAGAGAAGACTAGGAGCCATTTTCATAACGATAAAAACATAACATTCAACCAAAGGAGCAGGGTCCATATGAGAGTTTTTCGGCCCTGAAAATAACTCAAATTTGAAGCTGATCGCATTTGTGAAATGTTTGCATTTTAATATGTCAGAGTATATGTATTTTAAGCTTTCATCAACATTTTTATTGTTAAGTACTTCACTGTCTTTTGAAAGCCCAGTTCCCAATTTTGACATTTTCGTCCAAAATTTAAACATTTTCGTCCAAAATTGAACCATTTTCGAACATCTAACTGACGGTTTTTTTACGAACTCATGGTGGCAACACTTTCTACTTGAAATCTATAATAAAACACACTGGAACACAAAACATTTATGGAAAGGTAAATGTTGTGTCACTACATTCTCAATTAAAACAAAAGTTGAAATGAATGAATACACAATTACGAAAAGACCTCAACTTTTATTTTTATTGTGAGCGCATTCGCGCAACACCTTCATTATCTTATGGTTTATGTCGCCCTGTGCTAGATTTGAAGCAGTAGGTGTTACGACCATGCGCCCATAAAAAATTGTTTTTTAAAATAGGTGGAAATGCAGAAATTGCGAACTTTTGGATTTTAAAGAACATTCAAGTGCTAAAATAAACATGTTAGTGAAATATGTTCGGAAATATTTAAATACAAAAATTTCCTAAACGCGATGAACTTGAAATTTGGGGTATTTTCAGGACCGAAAAAACGGCTTATGGTTCCTGATATTTTAGTTACTTGTTATGATTATTTCATTATGGTGCGATAAAAGAAAGGAGAAATTTGAAAATCCAGGTATAAATAGAGGTTGACTAAACCGAACAAAACATTTTTATTGCTGAGATAAGTGATATTGTTTTGGGAGACTTGTCCGGTTTGAACTATTAAGAGGTCGAAGAGCGTGATGATGGACCCATAAAAGCTTGGACCTATAAGAACTTTTAAGCAGGTAAAAACTAAAATAAATGCTAGATGCTGGAAATTCTCCGTGCTCCAAAAGCTCACGATTGTCTGTATGAGTCAAAAATCCAAAACAGAAGTATATACATTTTATAATAATCGAAACTGGCTAAAAATGGCTATCAATATGATGAGATGGACAATGCTTCTATAAGGGCGGGTAGGGACGGTCGAATTAATATATATATATATATATATATATATATATATATATTACCTGAATTACATACGGAGTTAATTGTGATGATGGCAGACAAAATGTGATCAAATATCAGTTTTTGCTCTATCCTTGTTAATTATTCATTCATCAATTCTATATTTTTAAAACCAATTATCATCCACAGTATAGTTTATGATCTTCAAAATTAATTTTACAATAATAATTCCAGCTTCCCGTTATGGATTTTCGGGAAAATTAAAATTTAACTAGCTCTTTGTGATTATATCAGAAGTGCAATTTGTCAATTGTTCGTCACAAAAAAATGAATTGGATAATTTGTGAAAACGTGAAAATAAATTATATAATATTTTACATTGTTAGCATTAAACAAAACGACTGTTTTAGTTCTATTTTTGATAATCAATTTTGTAGTTGTTGTACTGCATGTTTATGGACTGTGTGATTTGCTTCATTTGAGAACATGCAGTTTACCGAAAACAATTGTGAAAAAAGTAGTCAAGAGCGAACAAAATGTAACTGTATTTAAGATACTACGAATACCTACGTTTCATCAGAATTTATGCTTGCACAGACATGGAAGTCGTTCAGAACCAAACGCACAATGCGCATTTCAAAATATTCATTTCGGCAGTCCGCCCTTCGGTTTATTTCAATGAAAAATACAAATAAAAGCAGTGTTGAAGGTGTAGAAGTTCCAAGAAAGATGTGATTTCAAGAAGAAATTCAATAATTAATTAATCTTCAAATCTTTCAAATTCGTTAGTGGTTTTTTGAAAAACCTAGCTATGTGTTTCATGGATGAGACCACTTGTTAGCATTATAAAAACGGACTGGACACATTGGGTTTGTTTTTAAGGAAGGAACACATAGCTATGCGTTATAAACATTTGATAATAAACCAGAACGGGTATACAGCGTGTTTCACAACTTATCCGGTAAATTTTAACCAAATTTGCACTGTTACGAAAGAAGTTGATTTCTAAAAAAAAATGCAATAAAAGCCCTAAAGAAATCGAGATGATAAAATTACACAGTTTAACAGTTCACTTACTTATAAAAGCTGTTCAAAATTGTTTCCATTGACTGCAAGCTTGCGTGCGTCCAATCCAATTTCGGCGCACTAATTCAAATATAGTACACCTCCTCCACGATACAGATTTAACTTTATTTAAACGTTCTTATCTGTATGAAAAAACAAAAAATTCCTGCTATTTAGTTTTCCTCAGTTCTTTGGTACAATATTTGCTACAATAAATTATTTATAACTTAATTTGTGTAGGACTTTTATTACATTGTTTTTTGAGAAATCAACTTCGTTCGTAACACTGCATATGTGGTTAAAATTTGTTGGATAAGTTGTGAAACACCCTATACATATATATATATATATATATATATATATATACAGGGTGACTTCGAAGTTGAGTCATTTATTTTAACAGTGAGTAGATCTGATCAAAAGGTAAAATTAAAGTAACAAAGTTATAGCCCTTTGGAAGTACCGCCCTGGCTCAATAATAATATTATGTGCTCGTGTTTGGCGACAACGGATATAATCCGCCTTATCGGTTCATCGCATCGGAAACAAAAGAGCGAAAGAATTTGGAAGGATGTTTTTACAATTATTTCATTCAGTTGTATACAGTCAGTGTCAGTCGGTAGTGAATAGTGGTGTCTGTTGCGTGGCTCAAACAAAATAAAAAATGGCACATGTTTATGCGGATCGGTTTCCCAATCGAGTGCAACCAACCCCTCGTGCATTTGTTAATGTAGTACAACGGGTTCGTGAATCAGGTGACTTAAGACCTCACATATGGACGGCATGCCGGTGCTTCAAGACCTCACGATCAAATACAGGTCCGCACTGAAATACGTGTCGGGAGGATACTTTATAAAACAAAGGAAAATTTTTTTTATTTTTTTTAATTTTTACACACATATTTTGGTTTATCTTCCTTCTACAATCATTATCTGAAAATTAATGACTCAACTTCAAAGTATATATAACAACAAGTAGGAAATATATATATATATATATGAGCGGTAGTCATTGCCAAAGGCCAACGACCAGTTGGGTAAAAAATACAATTAATTGTTAATTGGGAAATTGGCAAAACTCTTAGGCTTAAGTTGACTCTTTTAACCATAAAATCAAGCTTCCGGCATTCTCTATGGAGCCTTCATCAGGATTCTGAAAACACAATTGTGATGCTAGCAAAGAAAACAGGACAGTTTAAATTTTCAGACAACTTACTCGTCGGTGAGGTTGCAGCCACAAGGTGTTTCAGAACGAACGTAGAGAATGTCCCCGCCCTTTTGTTTTTATACTGATTATAAGTTCGATCTGTCCTGTTTTCTTTGCTAGCATCACAATTGTGTTTTCAGAATCCTGATGAAGGCTCCATAGAGAATGCCGAAAGCTTGATTTTATCGTCAAAAGAGTCAACTTAAGCCTAAAAGTTTGCCAATTTCCCATTTAACAATTAATTGTAATATATATATATATATATATATATATATATATATATATATATATATATATATATATATATATATATATATATATTCGGCATTCTCTATGGAGCCTTCATCAGGATTCTGAAAATACAATTGTGATGCTAGCAACCAATACAGGACCGACGCAAATTGTCAAACAACTTACTCGTCGTTGAGGGTGCAGCCAAAAGGTGTTTCAAAACGAACGTAGAGGTGAGAGAACTCAAATATAAAATCAATCGGATGGAGACATTGGGCTTATTGATAACGACAGATACCACGTTATGTGTTAAAATATCAATACACCCGAACATATTAAAAATTATTAATCATGAGAAGACATTTAGGTGAAACAATCTGAAGGCAGTGTCTAACCTCCTACTTCCGCTACACGTGGAGAGGGGAACGGAACGGAAAGATAATGCGTCGACAGATGACATGTGATTGACGCGACGGAACGTGGAACTGTAAACCTCATTGTCCAATTTGGGTATGAAGTATACGAGGGACGCTCGGTAAACCTCCACCAAAATTACGAAATTGCTGAATTAATTTGTTTTGGAAAAGTGAGTAGTTCATATGAGTGTACGAATGTGAGATAGTGATATACACTTGAAAAGATGGGTTATGTGAATTCATATTAAAGTGTGTATACTATCTCACATTCGTACACTCATATGAACTACTCACTTTTCCAAAACAAACTAATTCAACATTTTAGTAATTTGGGTGGAGGTTTACCGAGCATCCCTCGTATACTTCATACCCAAATTGGACAATGATGTTTACAGTTCCACGTTCCGTCGCGTCAATCACATGTCATCTGTCGACGCATTATCTTCCCGCTCCGTCCACCTCTCCACGTGTAGCGGAAGTAGGAGGTTAGAAACTGCATTCCGATTGCTTCCCCAAAATGTCTTCTCATGATTAATAATTTTTAGTATGTTCGGGTGTATTGATATTTTTAACACGTAACGAAGGTATCTGCGGTTATCAATAAGCCCAATGTCTCCGTCCGATTGTTTTTTGTAACAAGTTCTCTCATCTCTACGTACGTTTTGAAACACCTTTTGGCTGCAACCTCAACGACGAGTAAGTTGTTTGACAATTTAAGTCGGTCCTGTATTTCAGAATCCTGATAAGGCTCCATAGAGAATGCCGAAAGCTTGATTTTATCGTCAAAAGAGTCAACTTAAGCCTAAAAGCTTGCCAGTTTCCCAGTTAACGATTAATTGTATTTTTTGTCCAACTGGTCGTTGCCAATGGCAATGACTACTGCTCAAATATATATATATATATATAAGGTGTTTCACAACTATATATATATATATATATATAAGATGTTTCACAACTATATATATATATAATATAAAATAAGGAACAGTTATGGTACAGACAAGGTTAGCCATGATCAGTTGGAAGGCGAGTGTCTCACAGTGGTCTAGAACACCGCAAAGCAGGCAAAAAATAAAATGTTTACTGCATTCATACGACTTTCAGAACAATAGGTTTCTTTGACGTTAGTTTGTCTCTATGACTCTCAGTCACTTTGGGCAGATCAAGGATATTTTCAACAGTAGCTGAGCATTTGAGCTCAGCTTCATTTCATCCAAGGCCATATTCAAGATAAGTCTGAAATTCGAGTACAGACGCGTGTCACGTAGGTTTTCCCGGTTGTCGAGTTGAAATCAGAGATCAGTTTTTCTCTATGAAGACATTTGAAGGGTTTTTTGAGGTCGCTCAAAGGGTAAATGTATAATATATTTTTCCATAGTTTGCGAAAGTTAGGAAAACCTGACACTAGATTTTATCTGGTAGTATTTCAAGGTTCACAAACATCATTTATTCCAACTGGGGCAAAGGGCGGATCCTTATTACACATCTCTCCAATTTTTCCATTAAACAGTAGTGTCGAATGATACACCACAGCTTTAAGTCTAAAAGTCTGCTATGGTAAACCTAAGCGAGGCTAGTGTAAGTCTGTCTCCATAGCCAACTCATTGTTTCAGATATTAACTTCAAAGTAGCTAATAATTTCATTCATTTTCTCAAGGGAAAGGCGAGGGCCACTCATTGGCAAGAGATAACTTTGTGTAAAAGCGTACTTGCCTCCAAAACTTTTTTGAATCTTAAAGAGCCCCAAAATTTTAAAGAAAAGCATGCTAAATATGCAAATTTTAATTGAACCAGCCTGTTTGACTAAAGACTAAACTGATGTATTCATTTTTTTGTTATACATGTTCGTGGCTAACTTTTTATGAACTGATGCGTTGTGTAGGAAGTGCATAATCAACCCACTTGACGCCATTTTT